TCTTTGCTTTCACTTCACCTTCTCACCCACCAGTCCCCCCTTCTTCCGTACCTTGTCACACCAGAGATGAGAAGACATGACTATTTAATTAGCATTAGCTCGCTGGTCGGTCAAGGCAGCCATAGGGGAAGCAATTAGTGATGCTCTGCTCGCCTCCGTTCTTTGTCCCATCTGTGTACTTTTTCTTTTTTCTCTTTCAGGGCTTTTCTTTTTTCCTTTCACTCTCATTTTTTTCACCTTTGTGACCTTCCCTTTTGGCTGCACACAACCACAGATATTTGTGTGCAGTTGTTTCAGGTTTGTCTCCCTAAAAATGAAAGTTACTGACCCTTTAATATTTTTTTTCTTGTCATCATTTTTAATGTCTATAAAACCTTATTTTACTGTCCAGCTGTTTTTAATTTGCACCTTGAGAATATATTTTCCAAGGTGCCAGTGACTCCTCGCCTATTTCTTCCCCTATGTTCTTTTTCCACTTCCTCCATTGAACCAACAAACACAAGTAATAAAAAGAAAGTGTCACACTGCCAAGAAAAAAAGGAAAAAAATGGGAATGCACAGATAGTCAAATGTGCAGCTGCATTTAAAAATCAAATTTCTTGGCACCAATAAATTGCCGGGAAAATAACATGATTATCCCACCACACTGTCAGTTTTCTCTAAATATCCAAATTCAAATAAGACATGTTTCTTGTCTCATTTGTTGACTTTCTCCCTCCCACTCCCCACTTTCATCTGGCAGTTCTGGATAAGGACTTACCAGCAGCCAAGGCTTTGCATGAGCAGATGCAGAAGGAGGGGATAGTTGTAGACGAGCTGTCACTCAAACGTCTGGCTGTGCTTTACCGCGAAGCAGGAGAGACGGTGCCCTTCCCCGAGCCCCCCGTAAGTCTCCCACACACACACACACACACACACACACACACACACACACACACACACACAGGAGATGCTTTGAGCAAACACTCGGATGCAAATGTGTTTGTGTTTTAACATTTTAGAGGTTTGATTAAATAAAATGAACCATAGATATGAAGGGCAGAAAAACTGCAGGAGAAAAGTTGCTCTTCCTTCATTCAGAAAATTCAGTTGTGAAGCTTTTGTGTACTCCACACTGTTGTACATTTCAAACTCTGACGTAAAGGAAAAAGTTGTTGTTTTTTTAAGTGCCCTTAAACACAATTGATTTTTGGGTTAGAGGTGAATTTTGAATGATGTGTACAAAATACCGAGTTTGCATCAGACCTCCACAAATGACATTCTGGACCTGTGGAAGGAATTATGAGCAACTGCATTCATATTATCAACATTTTGGTTTGTGTTACCAGCATAAACATGGAAAGCATAGTTCACTACAACTAGAAATAAACCTAAAACAGAATTTATGATGCATTTTTAAATGCATGTTTTTTCTCTTTACATTTCTGCCTTTCATTTTAGGGTGAACACAAATTTTAACTAAGCAGTGAATTAACCTCTTAAGAAAGAATTGACAATGAAGCTCCAGTTGGCAAGTTTTCTTTAAACGTGACTTTTTCCTTATGTTTTGCCTCTGTACATCACCACAGTGGATTTTAAACCACACACTAAAGCTGTCATTGAAGTGCACACTGTCATCTTTAATTCAGGGATATGAGTTAGAATTGCATTAACAGTTTTTGCCGTCACCGCGTTCTGTTTCCTCTCTTGAGATGCTCTGTTTGGCCTGCTGCACCTCACAGCTCCTAACCAGTGCTAGCACTTGTTGTGCTGGTGTCCTAATGTGTGCTGTGGTCTCTGTGTGCCATACTAATATGAAGGAGCAGTATGCCCGCTCAGTATACTTCAGCATGCCCAGGCCTGCAGCAAGCCTCCTGAAGCCATTAGTGTGTGTGTGTGTGTGTGTGTGTGAGTGTGAGTAAGAAATGGCGCCCCAGAGTCACGGAGTTGTGTAAGGGAGATGGTGTCACTGCAATAGCCACTCTTCTTTTTGGGTTCATAGTGTTTTTGAGCATTTCAGCACGATGAACATTTTTTTAAGCTGATGTGGGTCTATTTTTAGCAGAGGACACACACACACACACACACACACACACACACACACACACACACGACACACACACACACACACACACACACACACACACACACACACAAACACACACACACAAACAAACACGCACTTTTGATGCGCTGTCCCCTTGAGGCAGGTATAGGCCGGAGCCTTACCTTCACATCACTCACCTGCAGTACGAAGATAGAAGGAGAAAGAGGGGATGAAGGTAGAGAAGCTCTTACATTATTTACTGAACACCAGGGTAGTTAAGTGATTGCTGGATTTTATAAACAGAGTAGAGGGAGGAGAGTTGCAAGGAGAGGGAAAGGTGAAGAGTCACAGTGTTGAGAAGTTTCTACAAATAAAAGCGCAGCTCCCGACGCTGGTCTTCATCCTCTCCGAATGTATAGAGGTTTGCATTTTCTGGCAGCCTGTTTCCAAAAAGAAATGTTTCAGTTTTATTTCTTTTTATTTCTAAATGCTTTGAACTTTGTCAGAATGTAGCCAAATAAGCCAACATGTGGACAAACCTTTAGAGGAAATAAGATATTTTTAATTAGGGTGCTCTGACCCCCTCGAAACTGTTTGAAACGCGTGCCAGGATCTCCCTCTCCCTCTCTGTAGTGAGCACGGCGATTTATCGGCATTAATTACTACATTAATAAGCAAACGTACATTGTAAGGAGCTGGCGTAATCTGCAGAAAAGCTCTCACCTTCTCCCCCTCCCAAAAACACCCACCACAACACTTTGTTTGGATCAAAACACTGATTAATTAGCCAGGAACAGAGGCAAAGAACGGAAGTGCGTGTTTGGGGAATGTGCTACAAATCCCTTATTTGTGTATTAATGGGGATTTAAAGATGAAACGAGACAACCTGGTTGGAGACTGGAGACTATTTAGACGGACCCAGGAGGGCTCCAGTGCCGCTTACTTTAAGAAAGAGGCGAGATACAAAACACGCCTTACGGTGTAAGGCTGCATCAGGTGAGCAGGTGTTGGGATGTTTGTTGCTGAATGGTCTGCCTTTGCTTTCTCTTTGCAGGAGTCCTTTAAGTTTTATGCAGACAAGCTGAGAGCTGCCAAAGCCCAGGCGACAGCGGAGGAATAGAGATTAATCATCCTCTCCTCATACCTCATTGCAAATCCCACAATTTTCTTCCTTTCTTTCTTTTTTTAATATGAGTTGTTCAATCTGAAATGTTGAGTGTTGTAACTTTTGGATGCTGAGATTCTGTCCACTGCGGTATCAATACTGTTGAACATGTTGCTAATGTACAGAAGTATTTATGCTAATAAACGATGGTAGGAACCCAGACCGAGTGTGTGAGGTTTTTGTGCAATTAAAAGAAAAATTCTTTTCACAATACCCAGCCCACCTTGGGTGATGTTTTATGTCTTAATCGGGTGCAGCTCAGGGGACAAAATGCATTTACTCAAGAACAACAGTTTTCAAGGTAGTGCATCTTTTACTTTACAGAATTAAGTTATACCCACAAAACCTATAAATTCTTCAACATGTTTCAGGTGGATCTCCAAAACGACTGGAGCCATGTGTTGCATGTGCATTACATCACCAACGCTCAAGTTTCTGACTTGAGCTTTTTGAGGGCCTCTGCACAAGTTAAACACATAATTAAATGTAATACCTGTTTTAAAGCATGTGTAAAAACACATGAGTGAATAGGTTTTGTATTTGTCATATACCCTACATTATAATCTATATACCCAAGCAACAATGTGAAGCTGAAGAAATGTGAAGACATGAGATGAATGGATGGATATATGACTAATTTTGAGTCAAAGGTCATAATTAATCTAATGTTGGGCTTTTTCCTCCTTTTTTTATGTAAGGTCATTTCCAGCGGCAGGCTAGAAACAAACACAATTTGGAAATTTATGTTATTAAAGGTCCTTTTCAAAGAAGTGTTGAAGCTCGCAAATATATTAATGTATGTTTGACTGTTTTTGCAATATTAAAATTATATTTCAAACACTGAAATGCTTGTTTTGGTCTTAAGTTTAAGGTGTGGCTTACATACTATATTTTCAGTGTTTGTGCACTGAAGGTTCCAGGTTTTCCCATCACACATAATTAGCTACCATATGTTTGTGAATTGAGAAATCTAGCAGGTCCAGGTCTGCAAGTCTGAATTTTGAGTGAGCATAGAGAAAAATTTAGACTTTCATTGTCGTGTGTGAAGAAAGCTTAGGTATCAATAACAACCAGCTTGTGCAAGGTCAAGGGCACATACCATAACCACTGACCTGTTTTTTTTTTTTCTTCCTTTTTTTGTTCAAGTGATTGGCAACCCCACAATTAGTGTACCTGTGACAGTCTTGAAGCCATGAAACAATAAAATAGGCTCAAACACGCCATCCTACACAGTCTGCTCAGAAAGCTCCTGCATGTGTAGATACATTTTCATGCAAGACATGTAGCCATTGATCTGATCTGGGAAACATTTTGCTTCACTGATAGATGATCTTATACTGTCTAACCCCAGCTCTCTGCAGCTCTCCTCTACTCGACATTGAACTCTGTGCTGGCCTCGGATATTCCCTAGATATTCATGTAATGCAATGCCCGCAGCCCTCTCAGAGCCAGGCCTTAGATAACACTCACTGGTTTTTCCCCAAGAAGATTGCGGGTTTGTTGAGGTCAGCGGAGCTCATTTGGAAAACAAATTAAGGCACAGAAGAAGGAACTTCTGATGTAAACCAGCATGTTTTCTAAGTTATGGTGATATATAAACTTACAATATCCTCTTAATATTTCTGCATAAAGGAGCATTGTGTTTTGCCAAAATAGCCGTGATGCGAAGGATGATACACACAAAAAAGAAAGAAAAATTACACTTCCAGTTTAATTTTCAAGCAGCTGCAGAGCTCCAGTGAACTCCATCGTGTAAGTGAATGTGAAGGCTGAGGATGAGTGCACAAACCAAACATAAACACGCAGAAGTGAGGCATTTTGAGACGATACTTTACTCATTTGGGCTCAAACCACGTTAGAAAAAAGATTTAAGAGGCTTTTGCACCAGTGCAAAAACTCACAGCTTACATAGCATTCAGTCTACACAAGAAGTTTTTTCCGAGTGTGAGTTGGCCTACTAAATTTCTCTTGGTCATCTTTCTTCAGTGCTCAGTATTCTGTCTTAATAATATGCTTAATAACTTTACATATACAAAAAAAAGATAACGCTGAGAAGGAAGATCGAAAATGGAACAAGCAAAAGCTGCAGATTGATATCTGCTAAAGTAGCGCTCTAATCATCTGCCATGCCTGGGAAAAAGAGGGCGAACGAGAGAAAAGTTCATTATTTTCAAATCAATGTTACGACAGTCCTCTGCTGCCATCCAGCAGCAGGCAGCGGCACTGCGACTCCAAACTGTTTCATCACCACGCTCAACTTTTTCTTCTGTAAATCTTTTTCTGTTGGCAGATTAAAACCGTAAACGATGGAAGCATTTTGAAATATTTCAGATGAGTAAATATAGTATTTTATGAATATTTTTCCCATTACACAGGTAAAGTTTATGATGCTGAAATTACAAAATTCTAAACATTTTAATCATGCATGTATTTTACTTTTATAGCATTTGAATTAAATGTCTAAAGAGGAATAAAATGGAAAGTTTGGTATCGAAACCAGCCGAACTAGAACCTCCCTTCCACTTATGCAAAATAAAAACCCTGATGATGTCAGAGGGCGTTTGGTTTTTCTCAGTTTTGTTCACCAGTCTTGACTGGACTTCTGCTTGATGAATTTTAGGGACAGGAAATAGAGCACCATGAAGCCCAGACAGACTCCAAGTAGGACCAAGTAGCAAGAGTACAGCGGGTACTGGTTCATGTGCAGGGCCTCCACCACCTGAATGACATACAGAAAGGATTAGAGGAGAAAAATGTTCATCAAATGGATTTGTCCATTAAAGTAAGAATTAGCAGGTCCTTAAAAACATTAACAGTCCTGATAACTCTCTAATGGACTGATTTGTTTAGTCCTATAAATCTTAAAGATTTAATATCTGTACAGATAATAGCAAACCTAACAGTAATGTGTAAACAAATCATAACTTTAGTTGAAATGATAGTGTTTAACTCACGTGTATGCCATCAACATTGATAGACATGTTTGCAATGGTGACGGAATACTCGTTGCCTCTGAACTGCACCTGCAGCATGCCCTCAAAACCCCAGCGCATGAATGAGGCATAAGAGAGCCATGATGCCACTGTGGAGACCAAAAACATGAACAAACATTAAATGCTGACCAGCTCATTTTTCTTTCCGAAGCTGTCGCCTGCTGTTTACGGTTTATAACGCAAATAATTCCTCACCAAGCCACAAATTCTCCAGGTTGATAACATAGCCTGCAGTCAAGTAGAAGACGGTGAACAAAGAATTGCCCATGAAGGCAGAAGTCTGCAGGGTGGGAAGCAAAGCAGCTACAAACAGAGCCATGGCCCGGCTGCAGTAAACCATCAGCCACACTAACAAGAAGTTCAGAAGGAAACGGTCTGGCGCCTTGTTAAGTCCTGCCAGCCAATAGATGGGCAGACCATAGACTAATGTGAACACACAGTGTTCTGGTAACTCCCCCAAAACCTGAAAATGGAGAAAAAGCATATATTCAAAAATACACGACAGTCAAAAATGCATAAAACATACTTGTAGTACTATTCAGCATACAGTGACTCCAGCATGGAACAAGACTGGCCCCTGCTGGAGATTCAGTTTTATCACTGGACTTTACCTTGGCAAAGAAGTAGGAGGTCACAGAGTACATGCCGTCCTGCAGCTCGTGGTAAAGCATGGCTCTCTCTGTGTGACCTGCAGAGAGCATTCAGTCTAACGACACTCAGTTCACAATACATGCAGTAGGATCAGCTTCATGAGCTGTATTTAGCCTCAGCCAGGCAGTTTTTTTTTTCTTAAAAACTAAGATGTCAAAGAGTTGTATTAGGTTAGGACATGAATATATAGCACAATGTCTCTCTACATAAATGTTATGATACTGGACAAAATGCAGTTTCAGAGATTTTTTTATTTTAATTTTCTCTCTGCAGTTAGAGTCACAGTATTTAATTCTAAGTGAGCCTGGCATCATTTTTCTATCTTTTGGTGTCTTCTGACCTTGACCTGAATTAAACTTGACTTTTTATGGTTATGGCTAGACACCTCTACACTGTACATGTGGCTGGATGTCATAAAGTTCAGGGTTAAAGAACAAAAATCTGTCTGATAACTCTGATAATCTTTCCATTCTGAACCATCCTACCTTTACCTGCTCTGTTAAAGTGTTCATCATTAATTCAAAGAATAGAATAGAATAGAATAGAATAGAATAGAATAGAATAGCCCTTTCGTCATTGCGCATGTACAATGAAATTGTGGACATCTGCAAATGACTGCAAATGCAGAGGTCACAACTTGAAATGCCTTCAGTGATTTTTGCTTTATTTTAAACAGATAATTTTTTTATGATACTTATTACATGTGAACATTTATAACATAAAACACTTAAATAATTTAAAGTAAATGCATAGAGAAATCAAAACACAACCTCAGTGACACTTATTACTGGCTTTATCCTTTCAAACTGCTTTATTACTCACATTTAGCTATGACGTCCAGCACCACAGCAAATGGGGTGAGAGCTCCGATCATGTAGAGAAGAGACACGGTGTCCTGAATGGACAGGCGGGTTTCTCCTGCCCCGTAGTAGAGAGAGCCGACCAGCAGCGACATGAGGAGGGCCTCGAAGCCGTGAACTAATAGGGTGACCAGGTCTCTGAAGTCATTATACATGTGACGCCTGATGAACAAGAGGAGAGAGGTCAGCGTTCATATTCAGTCACATAGATTTGAGTGCTCCAAAACATTCATGCTCGTACTTGATGAGGGTGTCAAACTGGTGTAGTTTGCCTGGCAGTCTGTTTTCATGCCTGGAAATAGTTATTACTTCATCTTCTTTTCTCTTGCTTGGCTGCTGAGGGCTGCTGTGTGTGGGAAAAAGAGTAATGGATGGGTTGGTCTGGGTTTTAAACGTTTGGTCCACAGCTTAAGCATGACCATAAAGGGTTTTTAAGCATCTACAACAGGTAATCACAAAAAACAGTAAATCCCTATATCTGGAAAGCTGTAAGCAGAGATATTGTGGTGTTATTTCTTACAAAAAATACAGAAAATCTTGTGCTTTATTAGAAAAATGCTGGTTCATTATCACTACTTACTGTTTTATTATTGAATGAACAATTAAAATAAAATTTAAAAAAAGCCAAACTTTAACACAAAAACATGATCACCTGTCGGTTTGCGCTACATCAGTCCCAGCGGCTTTCCACATGTGGTCGTCAGTATCACGAACCTTTTCCATGAACTGCTCAGCCAGAACTCTGGCCCTCTCCAAACACTCGGCTTCTCGCTCTGGACTGCGCCGGTCTATACTGATCAGATCAACTGGATACACACACACACATAAAAGACACAGGACACCAACAACATGAGGCTTAAATAGGTTTAAAAGAATGAAAAACACAAAGAGATGTAGTATTTATCATTAAGATGAAAACAAATGCTTCTTTTGGAAACTTAGTGGTAAATTGTTGGGTCCCAGCTTTCCTTAAGTTACCAGTGAGCATGGGGTTGGTAAGAAGATGTTATTGCATGCTGGGAAGAAGCACATCTTAATTCTCTTTTGACACACTTACTAACCATAGTAGTCAGAGGGGTTGCAGTATCGTGGGCAGGGGTGTCCCAGAGCAGTGAAGTAAGGCACCATCTCACGAGCTGCACCGCAGTAAACAGCTGAACCTGAAGACATCAGGACGACGAGGTCGAAGAGCTGAAAGATATCTGATCGAGGCTGGTGGACTGAAAGCAGGACCAGACGATTTCCCCGAGCCAGACGGGACAGTGTGATCACCAAGTTATGAGCGGTAAAGCTGTCTAAACCGGATGTGGGTTCATCCAGGATCAAAATACCTGAGAGGGGACATAGACCAATCTATCACCTCTGATAAAGCCTGTTCTTTATATAACAGATCTTAACAGTATGAGCTCGAAAATAACAGAGGAATCATGATTGTTAAAGTCAGTAATTAGTCAAATGTGTTTGTTATTCACAGGAAGAACTGTTACACTCGTGTCACTTCCCAGTAGTTTATAGATGTTCAGAAACGGTATGAAATACCCTGTTTAGAGCTGAAACATTTAAAACTCGCATAAACACAAGGGTTAAAAATGTTATATCTATAGTAACTTTAGAAGTTGCAACAAAAACAACATATATGATACTGATTACACTCAGATGCTAAATGGAAAGGAGGCACTGTAGGTGGGTTGCAAAGTGGCTTGTAGAGGACACAATTAAAATAGTGTGCCATATATAAAAGCTGCTGCTTGGATTGGGACTTCAGTTTGAATCATTGCCCTATCTTAACAACATAAATGACGGTTCAGGGGACCACATTAATTAATCTCTGTGTTAATATCTCTCACCGGGGTTCCAGAGAAGCTGGACAGCTATGCTGACTCTCCTCCTCTCTCCACCAGAAACCCCCCTGATGTAGTTGTTTCCCACCCTGGTGTGTGCACACTGCCGCAACCGCAGCTCTGCGATAACATCATCCACCTGTGACAGACAGCAACCAGAGACACTGTTAGTCATTGTTATCTGGACACATACAAGCATTCTTATCATTTAACACGTGTTTGTTCAACAAAAACTCTGAAGAGTTTAAAAGGGCATGCCTTAACGAGAATGTGATAAACATGCTGACAACGGCTCTATTATAAAATGGATAAACAAGAACCTCCCAGTCCAAACAATCATGCAAATACTGTTATGGAAATAGTTTGAGTCCCATTTATTGACCAGTCTTAATCTTACCCTCTGGTCCCTTTGAGCCTGTGTGAAGTGAGTGGGCAACCTCAGTTTGGCAACAAAGGAGAGAGTCTCTCGGACGGTGAGGTGAGGAAGAAGCCGATCGTCTTGGCGGACGTGAGCGATGCTTTTCTTGACGAGCTGGGGCGTGTTGTGCTTCCCATTAATTAGAATCTCACCAGACTTCATGATGCCTCCTTCATCCCGACAAGTTATTATGTCCAGCAGAGACGTTTTACCACAACCTGAAAACATATTGAATTCAAGACATTCTCATCTTTGCTTATGTTCAAAAAAACAAACTATAAGCAATATAGAACCAGAGGAATGCATCTATGAGTCTTCCAAATTAGCAGATTTTCTACTTATTTTTACTTAACACACATTTATTCTTCAAGAAAATGCAGTTTTTTTCTTTACTGTTCTGGTGGAACAAAGCATATCTATTACTTTATTTAATAAAGCAATACTTCAAATCTTTGTGCGTCACCTGAGCTGCCAATAAGGGCCAGCATCTGTCCGCTGTGGACAGTGAGGCTCAGCTTGTTGATGGCTGTCTGCTTATTTCCTTTAATTTCCCACGGCATTTTGAACTCTGAAAGCCTCTCGTACCACGGGATCTGAGCTGCTGTATCCACCTGTGAACATAAACACATGTACATGATGAACACCTGCAGCATGTATACACATGAACCAGTCAGTCAGATGACCTATAGTTACCTCATAGCAAAGGTTTTTGACCTCCAGCACATTGCAGCCTCCGCTGTAGGTGAAGTAGAGACTGCTGTCCTCCTCAGATGAGAATAACTCTCTGTCTTGATGCTGTTAATGCGAAGCAAGCAAGTCAATAAGTTTCATACAGACCAGGATACATGTACTAAATGTTTTTATATATATAGACCTATATATACCTTAAAAACTATGAGAAACAAGATGTTCTTATTTCAAAGTTTCAAATCAGAATTACAAATTTGCTTATTTTACACCACAAAATTGGGTTTAGTTAGTAACAACAAACAATACAGTAGATAATAAACCTGTGGCCACATATTAGTTGGATGTGATTAGAATATGTGATTTTGTTTTTTGTCATTTAGTCTTTTATGGAAAAAAATTGTTACACGCATTAACTTGTGTGTTTGATTGTCTACCTGCGTGTGTCTGTTTGTACTGTATGTGCAAATATCTGCCTGTGTGACCAGAGTCCAATTTCAAATAAACCCAATAGTTCAGTTGCAGAAGAAAAAAAATACAAATGTTCAGATTGAGATTAACAGCATCCTGCCACTTAATCTAGTTTACATGCTGTAGATTATAGTATACAGTTCTGTTTTAAAATTAACGACTTTTTTAGCCACACATCAAATTTGATCATTTATCACTCATGGAAGCTTCTATAAAATAATAATGTACTGGCTGAAAAAAACAAATACATATTTGGTTTTTTTTACTGATTTTTTTTCATTGTATAGCAAAACGAGGTCGGACATCAGATAGATGTGAAAATGTGAGTCGTGAACGTAATAAAACAAAGAACGCAATTAATACATTTACAACCAAATTAAGCCATTAAACAAATGAGTGAAAAATAATTTGATATTTTACTGAATGTATTAATTAATGAGACACTTAACTGGGCACGATCAAAAATATGTTACAAATCCTGATTTGAACACTGGAAGGAAAAAGGACCTGGATTTCAGTGCTGTAACTGGGAAAGCTTGGTCTGAAACTGGTAAAAGCTGCTGGCAAGCAAACAACTTGGGTTTGCTGGGGTTAGCATATTTAAGCAGTGAGTCTGCGTTGCCTTCTTAACAGAAGTTTATGCATTTCTGGCCATTTGATAGAAAACATTTTTTTATGCTTGAGTAAACGAAACCCAGCAGTGGACATGTTATAGCTAAGCAATAATAACTGAACAGGAAGCCAGTGTAATGACACCAGGAAAGGCAAAAGGTACCAGGTGTGATCGTGACCTTAGTGCCTACCAGACTTCATGTACTGAAGCAGTCTACTCTGGACTTAATGAGTTAAATAGTTTAATTTTACAAATAACGTTAAATGGTTCATTTGGGTTCTCATTGCATAAACATCCAGATTTCAGAGCATTCTGGTCGCATTTTTAAGGATATTTATCTCGACAAAATGCATCATAGAGTTTGGAAATGTTGTCACTGCTGATCCTGCTGTTGCAACCAGAACATGCCCGATGCAGAAACTGACATAGGAGAAAAACAGAGCTTGCTAAACCATCTATCCATCCATGTGTTTTTCCAACCAATTATTCAATTCAACATTTCCTATTTGAAATTACAGTTTTTTTTCTAAATTAATTTGCACTTAAGTGCATTCAGGGAAAAATTCCAGTTTTTCAGCAAAATGTTAAAATGATATATTAGGAAATCAATCAAATTCTGTTCTTCAAGATTATAAATAAGTTTGGTTTTTTTTAAGAAAAAACAAAAAACCCACATAAAGTAAAGTTTCTAGTACTGGTTGAGCACACTAGTGATCATAAATTGATTTAGGTTACTTCAGATTAGTTAATAAAATCCCATGTTATACTCAGTCAAAGAGAGGAGTTTAATGGCTGGTAGGGCTATAAATAAAGTAAAACAGCACAAAGTTAAGACCTGGATTGGTCATTTTCTTTAGGAGAGCTAAGATTTGCATATTTTGACCTGACAAACCTGTGAGTAGTCGTTTGTGTGTATAAGGTCACTGCCATTGTCCATGGTTAAAATTTGCAGGTTAGAGAGGTCAATACTCCTCTTTTCCTCTTCTGTTAGGGTCTTTATTTTCCTCTCTGTCTGCTGCTTTGTGTCTCCAGTTGTTCACGTCCTCCTGAAGATCTTCTCCCTTCTAGTTCACAATTCTTTCTTCTTGAAGCATCCGAGTTCATGTCATGTCAGTTCGCCCTCTGCTTTATCCTGTCAGTCACAGCTTTTTTGGGAAGCAGCCGACAATATGAGGACTGAGTCCACACTGAAGGGCTGTGAACTGACTTAGCATGTGTGCTTTTTGTCTTCATTATACAACCTTTGATCAAAGTTCTCTGAGATAACATGACATTTGCTGCGCTCACGCTTCCAGAGAGTCACTACTGATCTCGCATTTCTGCTGTGTGCAGGCAACAGGCGCAGAAGACAAAATCTGGGACTGAAACAATATGAACAATCTGATGTGAAACAGATTTGACACAGACCTGGAGGAGACATGAACAGATTTTATTCAATGCAGACGGAGGAGCCGCAGAACGGGAAAGTAAAAGAGTCCTTCAGGTTTGTGGCGGAGGTGAAGAAAGATGTGTGGAGAGACAGCAGAGAGGAGCAATCAGAGCCCACCTGTTCTCTAAGTGTCAGAAAGATCTCCTACACAGTCAGGTAAGTGCTGCTGACAACCAACACGAGTAACTCAAAAACAGACTCAGAGAATTTAACTTAATTTACTCATTATTACTTGACTGTGATTGTCTGATTATCTGATTGTTCATAAAGAGCTGATTCTTCCCACAGCCGAGATAGACATCGTGTTGAAAAAAATAAAATACTAATATCAAAAATACTGTCCTTGTCCTTAAGCGTGTGTGCATATATACATGTGTTTCACAGTGAACGTGTGGGTCCGTGGTGGGACTTACCCTCCTACAGGAAACGATGGACTCGTCAGATCCTGAATGATGTCTCCTTTCATGTTGACAGTGGGCAGATCATGGGCATACTGGGCAACTCAGGTTCGAGGTTCAGTTCAATCTAAGAGCCAAATGTTTAAAGTGAAAAAGAAATACAACATTTTTTATCAGGAAGCGTTAAAAATCAGTTAAATCATGAGTGTTTTATGCATATGTGTCTTTATCTGCACTTTTCATTATAAAGGCTCAGGAAAAACCACATTGCTGGATGCCATCTCAGGGCGGATTGGGAACCAGGGCACGCTGCTGGGAGAAGTCTTCGTTAATGGTAGAAAACTGAAGCAAGAGCAGTATCAGGACTGCTTCTCCTATGTGCTGCAGGTAAGACAAAGAAACGTCCACACATCAAGATTTAACTCATAGCTTTTACTTATTATCCCAGTATTGCATTTCTATTGATACAATATTGATATAATAAGCATTCATAAATAATTAAAAGTAATATTAATGTTAATATTACATAGTGTTATATGTGTTAATATTATAAACATATAAAATATTATGTGTTAATAACTATTAGGTTACATATAGGTATTACATAAATTACATAAATTACATACAATAAATGTTAAAATAACATAACAATTGTGTTTAAGTTAAATTAACAGACTTTTATTTACACTAATAAGAAAATTGTTTCTCTGTTTAAGTTAATAAAACCCTTGGGTTGCTTAATATCCTTAACTACCATATCAATTTTGACATTTTTAAACTCGTCATACGCTTTTCTGTTGCTTTATTACAAAAAACATGTGCATTTATAAACAATTTACTGTGTGATTTTAAACAGCTGCATAAAAAGCACATTTAAATGGTAATAATATACACAGAAACAAAAGAAAAGCGGTCTAAGACTGCATGACCTCCATACTTTGTTCAAATTTCGGATTCTAATCCTTTCACAACATCAGTTTTTTGGGGGTCAGGAGTTCGAGTGGTTCGATCACTGGATCCTCACGTTCAATATTTGGCCAAAGTGTCATTGTGTAAATACTGAACCCTGGTTTAAAATCACTGCACACCTGAATGATCAACGGTTCAACAAAAAACTTCCTCTATTACTGTTCAAGTTTATTATTAATTATTATTACATTTATTAAGTTGCATACTCTCGCACACACTCAGATGTGCATGCTAGCTAGTGACCGCTTCACACGAGTGGATGGCAAGGGTAAGGCTAAAATAAAATATCAGTTTGACAAACTGAATCCTTAGTAACGTCCAAAAAGCCTCTAAACATTTTTTTTTTCACAAAAAAATAAATACAATAATTTCCAGCTACATCTACACAAGTCAAAAGAGGGTCCACAGGCATTCACCAAACATTACAGATACTGAACCCCAAACTGACTCCAGTGCATCCATTAGAGTGTCAGTGTGTGCATAGTAGTAAGACATACCTTCACAATGGTAAAGAATTCATGGATTGAAACCCAAATGAAATTTAAAAGATGGGCCCAATCCCATCTTTTAAATTTTGAGCAATCCTGCTAACAATCAGATGGATAACAAACAAAAAGTCAAAGCAGTTGAAATTACATGACTTCTAATAAAGGACAATTTATTCCCAATTCATAATTGTCACAATTGTCACTTAACAGAAGTTGAAACCCAGCAGTGGACCTGTTAGACAAATGATTAATGGGAGACTGAACAGAGTTTAAAGTAATTAGCAAATAAGTTCATGCACATTTCACTTTCCTGTAGTTCACACAAACACTCATTAAACTTTTCACTACAGTTTCAACTGCAGCTGGCCTCATGCACATAGCCTGTATGTATTTAGTTTTGCCTGTGGTTGTACAAACCGCCACAAACTCAATGAACATTCTGCAGTAACTCCTGAAAAGCTGCCCTGGCCTCCGTATGAAATTAACTTAAGACCCCTGATAGCCTCCTCATATATGTAATCTCGCAATGAGAGGTGCTCAAGTGTATCCAAAGCCTGAATTAAAAACACTGGTTTAAAACCAGCCTTGCTTCTTTTCAAATCATCTCTCCCCTCTAGCTGATAGCTCCCCCTTCTGCTCTCTAAGCCTCGTCATTAACTTCCGCTGCTAAGCTGTAGATGAGGAGGTGATATGAGCTCCTCATATTAAAGTCATTCAGATGAGAGAATAAGGAGAAGTGGGATTGGGAGGCGCCATGTGTTAATTGAAGCAGGCAGCAGGTTCAGCTGGTTTAAGTCATGCGCCTGTGCCTGTGTGTGTGCACACATCTGAGGCAAAGGTATATTACAGATGGGTCGCACTGGCATATATGAACATAGACGTTTGTGAGGATATATGCTCACTGTACGGGGATGTGCTACAAAGATGCTATAGATGGAGAGAGTGTGACATAAAAGTATCCAGTCCAAACATATACTTCCATTTGTTTACTGATGACCACTCAAGAGAAATACTGAGATGTTTTCTTAATCCATCTCCTTGAAGAATAGAGGTGGTAGTTTCTAGTTTTAAGGCTACCAAATCACAATTTACAGTGTTTTTTTGTGTCTAGTTTCTTTTCTGTTAATGCCCTGTTTTCTCTTTCTGCCATTCTTTTCCAGAGCGATAACTTGCTGAGTTATCTGACAGTGGAGGAGACTCTGACCTACACAGCTCAGCTGGCCCTGCGGAAACGCTCGGCTGAAGCTATCAAGAAAAAGGTGACTTTAGAGCTGCGTCTGGGCATTTCTTTCATTATTTTCTTAAACCTGGCATCTCTGCCTGCTACAGAACATATCCCGAAAAATAAATAAATAAATAAATTACAGGCTGATGGATCTCAGTATCCACTAAGATGTCAGCACACAAACAGTTTCAGTGCTTATTTGGATGATCAGCTTAATCTTAGAAGGTGCATTGCTGTGTTGTTTTATATTTTAGGTTAGTTAAGTATGGCTGAGTTATTGCTTCACAGAGAGTCATGTGCAGCATCAAGATGACTGAGAATGTGTTACATTTTGTTACAGATCTCTTTGCTTACAGCACATAAATGCTGCAAATGCCCATTTTTTTAAAAAAGTACCTGACCTGACATTTAAGAACGGCAGGTCAGTTGTTCTCAGCCTAATATTTTGTTTGAGTCCCTCGCTCTGAAATATTTCCAAACTGTAAAAACGGGAAAATATTGCTTCTCCTAATCTTGTGGAGCTATCAAATACACTCATCAGGGTCTAATGAAGCTCATGTGGTGCTTGGCACCAGCAGTGGGTCCTTTGGATCCTGTAAGTTTAAAGTGGAAACAAGATGAGTTTTTTTCTGGTGCTGGTTGCTTCTAGTTTTTTCTTTCTTGTTCTTTTGAACATTATTTTTTTAGACTGTGTAGATTGTTGCTGGGGTCAGACTCAAACCCCTGAGCAATTTCCTGAGTATTGTTCCCATGAGCAGGGTGATTATCTGAAGAGTTCACAGCAAATCTTTTCATAATAATGAGGGGATTTTATTCCAGTGTTTTAGCTGATCAACGTATGATATCTCCTGCAGGCCCTTTTTTAGTAGATTTGCTAATAGTTGTAACTCTTGTCTCACCTGAACCTTGACCTCTGGCTCCCATGTAGGTGTCAGCAGTGATGGCTGAGCTGAGCCTTAGTCACGTGGCCCACAGTGTTATTGGAGGTCAGGTTTTCCCTGGGATCTCCGGGGGTGAGCGCCGAAGGGTCTCCATTGCCAGTCAGTTACTTCAGGACCCAAGTGAGTACCAGTGCACCTCAGATACACCTGAGGAGATTTACACAAGTTCATCACTGACCAACCTGTTTCCTCCAAAGTAAACATTTGCTGTCGGTTTAAATCAAAAATAATGAGGTGACGCAGAGTAAAAGTCATTAATCACTCAAATTTTCACTTTTAATAGATGTAAAATAGATAATAAGAGGGATTAGAAGTGATTTTCAAAGACTTTGGCAGATAAAAGAAAAGGATTATACATAACATGCTTTCATAAAATGTTTCAAAATATGTCTTTGGTGGAGTCGTGAAAAAGAAAGTTTCAATGAGGTTGTGTCTGAACTTTGACTGGGCCATTGCTCCACCTTGATTATTTTCTTTTTCAGTCATTCTGTTGTAGATTTGCTGCTGCTTGTTTGTCAGACTAGCAAACTGCCAAAACAGGACTGCATATAGTCCCGTGAAAACTTTCTTTTTTCCCACGACTGTGGGAGAATGCAGCAGAGGGAGGCAGAAGGATCAGACGCATGAGAACAGTGGAAAGTTCACCACATAACCTGTCTCTCCCCAGAAGAGTTTTGAAGTCCACACTGGAGAAAAACAAAAGGATCTAAGTGAGACAGAAGAGACAGAGAAAAGGGAGAGATGGAGAAGAGTAATAAAGGACTGGGTTA